CTACCTGTTTGTCCTATATAGAAGTTATCACAATCGCTACAAGACATTTTGTATATTCCACTTAACTTTAACATGTCGAATTTATGCTTGTTATTTAAAAATTGATTGATTAGTTTATTATCTGAATTGAATTCCGGGATAATGTTAAATTTAGATAGGTTTGTTCCTATTTTAAATTCTATATTGGGGTTGTAGGGGATGGCTAAGTATTGATTGGCAGATTTATGGTGTGGGTATATTAGTCTGTTAATGTGTCGTTTGTAAGCTATATTGAATATTTTTTGAAGTTCAGCAATTTTGAAGTTATTATTAACACCTATGTTTAGTATTTTATTTATTTCTTTATTTATGTTTACATCACTTAGAGGGTAGTTAATTAGTCTATTGAACATGAAATTGAAATTAGAATATTTGTGTTGGAGGCAATTATATGAATTCCTAGGAATTGTAGCATCAGTGTATGTGTCTTTACGAAAAATGTCAAATTCTATTTTATTTTTGTTAGTATTATTATATAAGGTTAAGTCTAAGAAGTTCAGTTTACCTTCAATTTCTATTTCTGTAGTGAATTTCAGATTGCATAAGTTATCGAAAATATTTTTGAGAGCTAATAGTTGGGCATTGTTACCATCAAAAACTATAAGTAGATCGTCTACATATCTACCATAAAACTTGATATTATGGTTAATTAATTTGTATTTGTCAGTAAATATAAGTTTTTCAAAAGTACTGAAGTAAATGTCTGCCACAATACCCGATATGGGTGAGCCCATGGGGAGTTCATCATTCATTTCGTAATATTCGTTTTCAAATATAAAGAAGTTTTGTTGGGTGACTATTTTTAGAATTTCGATAAATGACATGATATTTTCCGAATCAAGTTTTAGTGAATCTTTATTATTTATTATGTGTTCTTCAATAATATTAATCGAGGTATTTATTGGTATGTTTGAATACATGTTTTTTATATCAAAAGATATTAGACGTGAATTTTTCGAGATTTCGACTTTTTCTAATTTCTTAATTAAGTCTGTAAAATTTTTAATGTCAAAATGAGATTCATTTTTAAAACATTCGTGAAGGAATTTTTGAACCTTTTTAGCGATTTTACTGGTGGGTGTGTTAATATTTCCTATTATGGGACGGATGCTCAAATCTTTTTTATGTAATTTTATATAAGATTTTAGATTTTAGCTTATTATGAGTAGAAAATGTTTACAAAAGCTGTTTTCTGTACGATAAACGATTCCGGAGATTTTCGCAAAATACGATTTTTTTTTATTAAATTTCAACACCCTGTATCTCAAAAATGGTGCATTTTAGAGGGAAAGTTAAGTATAATTGTGATGCACAGGAAATGATTGATATTACGAGATCAGATCAAAAGAAATGGATGGAGGAAAATATGGCGATGTTAGCTATAGCTCATTTTTTTTCTATAATACCTGCCAAATTGTTCTAAAGTTGGCAAAATTAACAGGGAGTTTTGTTTTATCATGTTTTGAAATAAATATGTCACACTGACGTTTGAACTTTCGTTATTCAAAAAGAAAAGGTGCATAAAAAACGTTGTGGGGTGTTTATTTGCCTAGAAAAGGTGTTTTGTTCTATTTAATTACTTTGTAGCACGTTTTTACAATAAATATGTACTTCGTTAAAATCGTATATCTAAAAATCTATTAGTATTTTAACCTCAACTATTTAGTTACTGAAAATGTTACTAAAAATCAGGAAAACAACATAAATTTTATAAGGGTCCTAGATAATACCAACAGAAACCCTAAAAAATGTACATTGACAAGTATTATAGAAAAAAAACGAACTATA